GTTTTAATATAGTTTTAATTTACTGTATCGTATTTGTATGGTGAACGAACGGACAGGACATCAGCTTAGTTACTTTCTCTTTATTTTCTCTTTACTTTAATACATTTTTTGTCTATTTTTGTCTAAATTTTTTTTATCCAATCAATCCAGAGGGGGGGGGGGGCAAGTGCCCCACCTTGCCCCTACCTGCGGGCGTCCAAGTCCCCATGTGTTCACCTGACAGGCTGAATAAGCACGCCCTATGTTTATCATAAACAGGTATGCGCAAAATATAAGCTTGTCTAATTTGATAATTTTTTTAAAAAGAGAACTTGACTTTTATTGTTACCTTACAGTTTTTACCTTAAGAATTTCTCATAATTCTCATATTGCTCATAATTCTCATAATTAGCATTCCCATAATTTTCACATTTCTCCCAATTCTCATCATTCTCCTCACCTCCGGCTGGTCTCCAAAACTCCACACTCCCTTCTTTGTGATTGGCTGTTATTAAGTTCTTATCGCGGCAGAAGACTTAAATCACTCCACGCTTTATTCTAGTGTGTGTGGTGGGGGTGGGGGTGAAGAGAGCTCTTTAATCCAAACTTGAGAAAGTTTATTATCATTACCTATCATCGGGCTTCCTGTGTTATCAGTAGTAATCATCACCTTCCTTGGAAAGCCACAAAAAAAAAAAAAAAACACAAAAAAAACAACAACAACAACATCAACACACACACACAAACATCCACTTCCTGTTCCCAAAATAGACGCAGGCAATGCTTACCCTAATCTTGCACAATCCAGGACACTGCAGGACGAATTTCGCGGCCAGCTGTTTGGTGATGTCCGATTTATTGACCTCGTGCACCCAGTACTCCTTGGTGCCAGGGATGTCTGTAAAAGCCTTGGCCACAACCTTCTCCCACTGGCGCGGTCCCTGACCCAGCAGGACGCCCTTGTACATTGTCTTCTTGCAGCCTCGTGTGAATGGCTTCATCGTTAATCCGACCTGTGAGTGGCCACATGGGAGTTAATAGTCAGCTGATTCCTCCCCAACCCACAGTTGATTCCTCCCCAACCCACAGTTGATTCCTCCCCAACCCACAGCTGATTCCTCCCCAACCCACAGTTGATTCCTCCCCAACCCACAGCTGATTCCTCCCCAACCCACAGTTGATTCCTCCCCAACCCACAGTTGATTCCTCTCCAACCCACAGTTGATTCCTCCCCAACCCACAGTTGATTCCTCTCCAACCCACAGTTGATTCCTCCCCAACCCACAGTTGATTCCTCCCCAACCCACAGTTGATTCCTCCCCAACCCAATAAGAAAATAAATAAAATACAAACAAACCAACAAACAAAATGCTTATTTCAAATAATTAAATGTACAAATTAAAATATTTAAAAGAATAATTCAAGAATCAGGCTTAGGAAAAAAAATGAAAACATTGTGTGCCCTCAATGGTGAGGCACGGTTATATAATTATATCAATCGTTTTTGAATGTGCTTTCAAAATGTTGTCATTTTTTTGTGTTTTTGTTCGTCAGTCGGGAGTAGACCGTGACCACTTTAATTATCAGATTTGTGCTAGGTCTGTCTGTGGGTACGCAGATTGCTAATGAGGCAGAGTCTGGCACGATATTTTCTTGTGCAATAGGTGCAGGGGAATGATGGGGCATCTCCAGGAGCAGAGTCAGACCGGGCCTTCCTGTCATGTCTCCTTGCGCTCTGCAGCCGCTGTTCTGCCAACTTCAAGTTACATGGACTCCTGTGTAAAGTGGAACGCCATGATGTTTGATCCTTTGCTTTTTTCCTCCCACGTGTCTGGGTTTTATGTCAAACTCTCTCAGTGAGGCATTTAGGTTGTCTTTAAAACATTTCTTCTGCCCGCCAGCAGACCTCTTTCCTTGTTCGAGCTCACCATAGAATATTCTTTTGGGCAGACGGTCGTCTGACGTCATCACAACATATCCCGCCCAGCGAAGCTGGGACGTCACTAAGATGCTGGGGAGACCTGCCTGTGCGAGCACCTCAGTGTCTGTGACTATGGCCTACCATTTAATAGTTGAGGATTGTTCTGAGTCTTGTTGTATGAAAGTGGTTCAGCATTCTTGCATGGCATTGGTAGACCGTCCACGTTTCACAGGCACAGAGAGGCGTAGGGAGAACAGCCGCCGATATTTTTCAGTTTAGTTTGTTAAATCTTAAATGGTTGGGATGGCTTTAAAATTTTTTAAAAATAAATCTGGCTTGTTCGTCTTTGAGACTGCAAAAACAATAATACAAGTGGGATCGAATTCCTAAGACATGTATGTCCCTTCATGGCTTTGAATCAAATCTTCATGTCTTCGATTCAAATTTTCAAGTCTTCGCGTCAAATTTTCAAGTCTTTGAGTCAAATCTTCATATTTTTGAATCAAATCTTAATGTCTTTGAATCAAATATTAAAGTCTTTGAGCCAAATCTTAAAGTCTTTGAATGAGATCTTCAAGTCTTTCAGTCAAATCTTCATGTCTTTGAGTCAAATCTTAAAGTTTTTGAGTCAAATCTTCATTTTTTGATTCAAATCTTCATGACTTTGAATCAAATCATCAAGTCTTTGAATCAAATCTTAATGTCTTTGAATGAAATCTTCATGTCTTTGAATCAAATCCTCAAGTTTTGAATCAAATCTTCAAGTCTTTCTGTCAAATCTCGATGTCTTTGAATCTAATCAAGTTTTTGAGTCAAATCTTCATGTCTTTGAATCAATTCTTCATATCTTTGAGTCAAATCTTCATGTCTTTGAGTCAAATCTTCGTTTGACCGATATTTGAGGCACACTCACACACATTCTGGTGTCACTTACGGGAGCATTTCATTTAACAAATAAAATGTATAGAGCTTACCCAGTATTGATAACCGTCTCCCCCAGAAATACTGAGGGTTTCAGAGGTCATTGCCTGCCCCATGGTCTAGGCGTTTGCCGGATGAGAGATCTCGCACAGATGTAGATGGCTGTTTCAGGCAACACTCAAGTCGTCTGCCTGTCAATATATTAAAATGCTTTTAGAGATTTATTTTTCTATACTTTCTAAATGCAGCCTTGGTTGCCTAGATTTTTCGCTGCTCCACTTCTGCGAAATAAAAAAAAAAAAAACAGCCAATATAAAGAAACAAATGTGTATGAGCGTCACTGTCCGTATGTGTATGTGTGTGTATGAATGTGAGTGTATTTAGCTACGTGGTCATTGAGACAAACCCTGTGCTTGTCACAGTTAATGTTTCAAAGGCTCTCCATTCATATCTAATCAAGCGCATTTATCACTTCGGTCCAATTTACGCTGTACACCGAGGAAGTTTTAAGATATGCAGTAGCCATGGGCGCCTACAGAAAACTTTCTAAGGGGGGGGGGAATCGATTAACTTTCCAGGGGGGGGGGGGCAAAACTTTTTTAGTAATGTTTTAATATAGTTTTAATTTACTGTGGCGTATTTGTATGGTGAACGAACGGACAGGACATCAGCTTTTTTTTTAGTAATGTTTTAATATAGTTTTAATTTACTGTAGCGTATTTGTATGGTGAACGAACGGACAGGACATCAGCTTAGTTACTTTCTCTTTATTTTCTCTTTACTTTAATACATTTTTTGTCTATTTTTGTCTAAATTTTTAAATCCAATCAATCGGGGGGGGGGGAGGTGCCCCCCCTGCCATCCCCTGTGGGCGCCCATGGCCGTAGCGTACCTTGACTGAATGCAGTAGCGTACCTTGACCAAATGTCACCCCGTGCGAACTCTCTCAGCAACATGCATTTCTTTGGTGATGCCCATGGGACTTTCTTATATTTACAATTAATATTCCATCTTACAAATTGACTGTCCGAGGATACTGAGAGGTCAAAGTGTGCTGGTGACTGTGCTAGTGTGTGTGTGTGTGTGTGTGTGCGTGTGTGTGCATGGATGTCCGGTTGTGTGTGTGTATGTGTGTGTATCATTTCTAAATTCTTACATTGAATTCAGTCATGGTAATGTAATTTAACATTCATTTAAAAGTGAAACAATTGGTTTAACTCAGTGGTTCTCCACCTTTCTAAAGCCGTGACCCTGTAATACAGGTCCTCATAATGTGGTGACCCCCAGCCATAAAATTATTTTCGTTGCTACTTCATAAATGTGTTGTTTTTTTCCGATGATCTTAGGCGACCCTTGTGTGAGGGCCGTTTCCCCAAAGGGGTCGTGACACACAGGCGGAGAACCAATGGTTTAACTGAAGGAAGGCATTAGATAGTATCGAAACGACGACGATATAAATATTTATTAAGATAAAGTTATGCGTATGTTGGTATGAGAAAAATGAAAATTGCTACCAACCAGTGGACAGCAACACTAAAGCATATGGCGAAACTCCGTTACATGTTTTATTTTGGTTATGTTTATGGGTTACCCTTAAATAACGACCCCCCCCCCCACACACATACACACCCAGGGTTCGCCTGACAAACAGGCAGGGGTCGCTTGAGAATTTCAGAAATTTGAGAGGTGGGGTGGCGTATGTGTAAAATGTGATTTTTTTTTTTCGATTTGAATTTTATTTTCATTTTAAAATTTAAATAGTTTTTGTAAAGGGACTGGACTAGTTTCCTATTGTCACTACACTCTGACCACACTACAGTGATCGGACTCGTTTCTTATTGTCACCGATGTTCCCTTTAAGCTGCGCGGCCACGCAGCTACCTCACAGACGCCGCGCAGCAGTTTTGAGTACCGCGCAGCAAATTTCCATGCAAGTGTGTGATTGTTTTTGTGGGCTGTAAAATTTTGCACACAACTGTTATGATTTTGCACATGAACCAGCAAACTTTAGAGGGAACATTGATTGTCACTACACTCTGACTACACACACAGCTACATAAAATATATATTTTTTTAAATTACGATTCATTCCACAGCTGATGTCAGCAGCTAATTTAATATAAATATCTCGGCAGTTTATATTCAATTAAAAAAAAACCCCCACCAACCTATATGAATGAACTTAAACGTTGTGTCCACTCCCACGCACAACTAACTGTCTTTACAGGTGTAAGAAGTTATCGAAAGTTTTCGGGGGGGATTAACGCACAGCGCCCACCTGCAGAAGCCTCTACCCTGTACCTCTACCCTGTACCTCTACCCTGTACCTCTACCCTGTACCTCTACCCTGTACCTCTACCCTGTAAGCCATTGTGTCTGATTCCCTGCAACCCCTGATCAAAATGTACACTACAGAATCCTTTTTTTCCGGGGGGGGGGGGGCGGGGCGGAAGCTCTGCCCCTCCCCCTTTTCTCAACACATGGTTTCTCAATTATTAAGTTATAATCACAGATTAGTATAGTAATCATTGCGAATGATTAACAAAGTTTTCTTAATTATAATTGCTAAAAAGTTTATAACGCCTAAAATAAATTATTTAACACAAAAAAAAAAAGAAGAAAATTTGCGTACTATTTTCCTAAAGAAATCTGTATCGATTTCGTCGGATTGGTTTAATATTCTGATGATGTTTACCTAAAACGTTTAAAAAAAAAAATAATCAAAAAAATATTTAAAAAAAACGTTTGTAATGGTGGTAAAAGGTTTGAGAGGTTAAGACCCAAAGCATTGCATGAATTTGTATGTACTTAACGTTGCCTCAAACTTAAGGCTCAAGAGTTGACATCGTCAAGTTAAGCCACTAAGAAAACTGTACAGAAACTGGGCCACAGCAAACCGTAGGTCAACACTGGGTCAACTACGTTGTAAATTTAAATAATTGAGCCACTTAACAAAATGGAACTCCAGTTGCAAGCGAAAAAAAAAAAAAAATACCATTTAGTTTCTGAAGCGCTTCTGAGTTCAAATCAACATTAGGCGTGGATTAAGCATTCAGACTACGGGGCACCCATTACATCTAAAACGAGGCCTACAGTAAACACTTAGACTACATGGCACCCATTACATGGAACACCAGTCCTACAATAAACACTTAGACGACAAGGCACCCATTACATTTAACACCAGGCCTACAGTAAACAGTTAGACTACATGGCAGTAAACACTTAGACTACAGACTACATGTAACACCAGTCCTACAATAAACACTTAGACGACATGACACCCATTACATTTAACACCAGGCCTACAGTAAACACTTAGACTACATGGCACCCATTAAATGTGACATTTAACACCCTGAATACAGTAAATATTTAGACTACGAAGTACCCATTACGTCTAACGATCTACTTTTATACGACTGAAACACTATGGGTACGTTCAATTTTTTGTAAAACAGAGTAGCTTGCCCGTGGTTGCCGCCTACTTTTACCACTTTGGGCTGGTTCCAAAATCATTTTGTTGTTTCTCAACTCGCTTCCAGTAAGCTAAGAAGGGTTAATTAAAACAGACCCAATACTATAGTTTTTAAAATAAAATGAATACTTTTACTCCAAATATTTTATTTCCTCTCAATTCACGGTGACGTCATCCGATCCATGTTTACTTAGCCAATGCATGACAATGACAACCACAAATAAAATGTCAGCGGAAATGCCCTGCACAAACCCGTTATGCTCTTCTCTCTCCGAAAATAAATATTTTTTTCCTTAGTGATCGTACCCCCTTTTGCCATGGTGGGTGCTATTAACGACATTTCTTCCTCCATCAAAAAATCATTAACAATAATATTTTCAGGCTAGGCTAGGCACAGTTCGTATGTCTTATTTTATTACGGTGATTATCTTGTAATTTAACATCTTATATAATCCCAGTGATTATCTTTTAATTTAACATCTTATTTTATTACAGTGATTATCTTTTAATTTAAACACATTATTTTCTTACGGTGATTATTTTATAATTTAACGTCTTATTTTATAGCGGTGATAATCTTTTTATTTAACATCCTATTTTATTGCTGTGTTTTTTTTAAAAATTTAACAACGTATTTTATTACGGTGATTTCTTTTAATTTAGTACCTTGACTAATTGGAATGCGCAGTTTTCATGTGCGCGTTTGCACGTGCGTGTGAGAGCGTGTGCATGGTGGCGAGTGTTTGTGTGTCTGTGAGCGTGTGCATGGTGGTGAGTGTGTGTGTGTCTGTGAGCGTGTGCATGGTGGTGAGTGTGTGTCTGTGAGCGTGTGCATGGTGGCGAGTGTGTGTGTGTCTGTGAGCGTGTGCATGGTGGTGAGTGTGTGTGTGTCTGTGAGCGTGTGCATGGTGGTGAGTGTGTGTGTGTGAGCGTGTGCATGGTGGAGAGTGTGTGTGTGTGGTGGTGAGTGTGTGTGTGTCTGTGTGCGTGTGCATGGTGGTGAGTGTGTGTCTGTGAGCGTGTGCATGGTGGCGAGTGTTTGTGTGTCTGTGAGCGTGTGCATGGTTGTGAGTGTGTGTGTGTCTGTGAGCGTGTGCATGGTGGTGAGTGTGTGTCTGTGAGCGTGTGCATGGTGGTGAGTGTGTGTGTGTCTGTTAGAGTGTGCATGTGCTGGTGAAGACTTTGAAGACGAAAGTTTCGTTGGCCAGTTGTGTCTCAATTGAACCCCTAACTCCACTGCACCGTTAGTTTGGTCCCTTTGTCGACCAGATCAACAACCCTTTATCTGGGACGATCTCGTCTATATGTATAGTATAATGCATTGGCTTATCTGAATATGTATTTTATAAAGGCCCATGTCAAATTATGTTATATATAGGCATTATGTCACACATATATAATACATTGACCTTTTTGAGTATCTATAGGAGCGGGGGCCTATTTCTGGATGTTCAATTTCACCCTAACACTAAATGCAACATGCTAGCAAGTAAGTCATCTCTAAATTTAACCGCATGCCAAGTAAATGTTTGGGTTTTAAAAAAAAAACAGACTTTCTTTGCTCGTCTGCTTAATCTTATCGCCTTGACGTCTGCTGAATTGATTGGATATTTTCCATGATTACTTTCTCCCGTGGAATGAAAGGACCACATATAAATATAATACCTGCTCAGCCATAGAAACGTTAATGCTTCGATTGAATAGTGAATGCAGCCATATAATCAGTGGCGTAGAAAAGGGGGGGGGGGAGGAAGGGGAGAGAATGGAGTGGTCCGCACAGGCGGCACTTTTTTTTCTCTTTATTTTGATGGGCGGCATTTTCGGCAAAATGGAAAAAAAAAATTGCGGAAGAGGGCGGCAAAAAGCTTGACGGCTCTAACGCCTAGCTACGCCACCGCATATAATAAGGCACTAACCCAATCTTCGCCCCTGCATATAATAAGGCACTAACCCAATCTTCGCCCCTGCATATAATCAGTGATATATTATTTCTTGTATACAATGAAAAATAAACTTTTTTTTTTTTCAACGATCGTTCTACAACTGAACATGTTAGAGCAACTCCTAGTGTTACTTTCTATCTAGTGATGCGTGCCTATTACCCTATATTTATATATATTATATTGATCACTTGAATGTATTTAGCAGGTAACTGCCAATACATTCCTATTAAACACATGGAGAAGAAAAGGATCAGTTACGTCTGAGTGGAAGGTTGTTGTGGTGCCCCAGGCCAAAGCCCTACACGGGCTGTAGCGCCACAAGGTTTGGTGGGAGATCTGAGTGGAAGGAAGTGGTGAGGCAGGCCAAAGCCCTACACGGGCTGTAGCGCCACAGGGTTTGGTGGAAGGTCTGAGTGGAAGGAAGTGGTGAGGCAGGTCAAAGCCCTACACGGGCTGTAGCGCCACAGGGTTTGGTGGAAGGTCTGAGTGGAAGGAAGTGGTGAGGCAGGCCAAAGCCCTACACGGGCTGTATCGCCACAGGGATGGACGTAAAGCCACAATACAAGATTATCTCTTATTAAAATCAGTACTGACTAGAATAGATTACCGTTCACAATTTAAAAAACAAAAAAGAGTTCGATGATTAACTTAACTGATTAACTTATTGTTATCATTGAGCAGATCGATAGCACTGGCTGATAAAAAATCCCGCCGTTTGATTGGAACACACGTTGGGCCCTAAGGTATTCACTATACAAACGTCTAAAGATATAGTACTTAAGTATACACTTGCATCATCTTACTCTGCCCGCGTTAGTAGGCTGTGATTACTCTTATTAGTATAAAACACTAAATAAGATAATACTCTAGTGAATCACCCGTTAGTTTTAATACACCCGTTAATATAATAAAGCCGTTAGTAAAATACACTAGAATCCTAGAAACTATAGTTACTATAATACACTAGTCAGTCTAATATAACTAACTACAATATAGATGTAGTTACTATCATACAATACCGCAGTATTTTTTTTTTTAAAGACGCAACGAAACCCACAAAAGATGTGACCATTATACGACTTACCTAAGTTTAAGACGTTGTTGGCCTGATCCGTTACACACACTCGTAGTGCACCACAGGAGAAAAGATCAGCCACATACGTAGATCTGACGTGCCGAGTCACTCCACTAAACTCAGTAATGGCTAGAGTGGTCCGCACCAAAACATATCACTGAATGCTTTAGTACGAAGTGAATCTGTCACATAGTGGCGTCATTGACTTACGCACCCTCAATTTTTCAAGTTCCGGGATTTAATCATCTTACTTTCACGGTCACCACCTTCTATTTACATTTAAAAAAAAAAAAAAATTCCAACACCGGAATTAAGTCACGTGGTGTTACAGATTTTTTTTAAGGTCATCGTATTTGCATTGTGACGCTACGGGCAGAGGCGTGTTCCTTGGTTGAAGAGAGGGTTGGACGGATGGGGGTCGTTATTTTGTGTCTGGTAGGTAGTAAGGTTCAATTCAGTTCGAAATATCGGATGGACAAGAAATCCTTGTTGGAAAATGGGGGGAGACTATGTTCGAATTATTGCCCCTGTCTCTATGGCGGCGCTCCATAAGTGACGTCAACAAAATGGATGAGACCAATGCGTTTGTCTGCCTAAAGACAGAGAAATGTGATGGGCACAGCATGAAGTGAAAATGCTGATATTTTTTAAAGCTTATTGGTTTCTTTTAATTTCAATCTTCAGCATTCCAAGAGAGGCGAATTGATTTATTTTATACACCTTTTTTTTTTCGATATATGTTTTATAAATAATTTATGGGGGATTGGGGAACCCTTGGCCTCGACAAAATTTACAGATAAGCTGGTTCCCTGGACAGAACGCTATCACTGGCCTCTTTCCACGCACTTGAGAGTATAATCCACGCAATGGAACATTATATTGTGTCCATGTGTCCAATGTTATCCGCCTACGGGGACAACATCTCCGACTGGGGATGTCTTTGCTTGGGGGTGGGGGGTGGGGGAGGGATTGAACTCCAGGCCAACAGCTTTTTTGGACTGAATCATTTTAGACCGCTTGGCCATCCAGCACCAGAGTTTTATAGCCATATTATTCGAGTTTAAGTAGCCATTTTATTAGAGTTTTAGTAGCCATAGTATTAGAGTTTTATTAGCCATAATATTCGAGTTTTAGTAGCCATAGTATTAGAGTTTTATTAGTCATAGTATTAAAGTTTTATTAGCCATAATATTCGAGTTTTAGTAGTCATAGTATTAGAGTTTTATTAGCCATAATATTCGAGTTTTGGTAGCCATATTATTCGAGTTTAAGTAGTCATTTTATTAGAGTTTTAGTAGTCATAGTATTAAAGTTTTATTAGCCATAATATTCGAGCTTTGGTAGCCATATTATTCGAGTTTTATTATCCATATTATTCGAGTTTTAATAGCCATATTATAAGAGTTTTAGTAGCAATATTATTCGAGTTTTAGTAGCCATTTTATTAGAGTTAAAGTAGCCATATGATTTGAGTTTCAGTAGGAATATTTTATTTTTTAAAATTCTTAGTCCTCACCCTCATCCACCCACCCCTTTTTAACTCAGATTAGAAGCAGCTCCACCCCCCCCCCCTTTTTTTCTGTTTTAACGCCCCTCTACCCCCATACCGTTCAAATTGCTTTATAAGTAAATGGTAGGAGTTTTTTTTTTTTTTTTTGAGGTAGAACATTTCGGCCCACTGCAAAGTTTTTTCGTGGGCGGATGGCGGCAATTTGCCCTGGCACTAACCCTAGCTACGCCACTGGGCAGGTCATCAAAGAAAGTCAGAGGAAATAAAGGCTCTGCATTAACTATTTGCCTGTCAGAAGTTGAGAGACAAACCCTTCACCCGGCCTCATCCCTTTTATGACAATGCCCCTAGCTAGGGTTCAATGAAAAAAGATCCGCCCACGTCATGACGAAGCGAACATAGTTTTCCATGGCCTTTAATAACAGGGAGGTTCAGGATGGTGGTTAAAAAAAAAGAAAAGTGTGGGACTGAAATGGGGAATACCCAATTTCCATTATTAAACCGTCAAGTAGGCAAAATTACTATTAATGGTCACCAATGGGCAATCCCGATTTCTTAAATAATTGCTATTATAACACCGAAGAAAATATAGATCAAAATGTAAACACGAAAAACAAAAGTGATTCTAGTAGGCTATTTCTCTTAGATAATTCTACAGGTATAAATCTAATTCTCCAATTTTTAGCCCCAGATGTCTGCAATTAAATTGTTTTAAACGTTCTATATTGTTAACCGTATTATACTGTACTGTAACTGTAAACAGTACTGTAGTCTGAAGTGTATACAGTATACATGATTGTAATTGATGTATGTAACATACATGTTACTAAACTCCGGCTGAAGCACTCATATCTCGTAAAGTCTGATTGTAGAGGTCCAAGAGGCACAGTTTGAGATCCCTCTCATACATCTTACGCCTCAGATGAATTGGCGTGGTCTGCTGTGAGACGAGATGATGAAAGTAAGTACACTCAAAACGAATCTTTAGTGGTTTTATTTTTTAAACGGATATTCCCAATATATTTAAATAAGTTTACATTGGGGAGATCTTAATCAAAGTGACAATCATATATAAAAATCTCCACGCGTCTGATTAGGTAATTTCCTAAAATAGTAACAGAGTAATGTTTCTAAAGAAGTAAGACAGTAACGCTCCAAAAATAGTAACACAATCGAAAGAAAAGGCGCACATGACTTGCGATCGGTGAAGAACTGGAACATAATCATAATGATAGGATTGATAAGAGGGCATTCATTTGGGACTATTATAAACAAACAAAACAAACCAAAAATTGTGCTAAAAGATTTACAGCAAGATGGACAAATGTGTCTTCCCCCAAGTTAAAAAAAAAAAAAAGATTGTAATGTAAAATAGTAACTTTTGATTATGTTATGCTAATTTTTAAATCCATTATAATAACTTCGCTTTTGTGTGTTGTGGGCAAAATTTTCGAACTGCTACTTAATCCGATTCCCGTCAATATATCGGGTTGAAACTTGATACATAGACTCGTTGCCAATGACAACACATTCTAACAAATGTTCAGCCCCACCCCTAAATCCTAAACCCCAAAATATTTGTTTCCCTTGTTTTTCAAGGGGAATATGAAGGGAATATGATGGGAATATGATGGGAATATGATGGGAAAATGAAGGGAATATGATGGGAACATGAAGGGAATATGAAGAGAATATGAAGGGAATATGAAGCCACTAATTTCTTGACATAAAATTCCAGATAACTGCGCTAAATGAGATTGTTAAAAAATACCGTAAGTGCCTTATATTATCTGTTATTTTTCTGCAATAGTTGGATGGATAAATCTACGGTGTCAACGCGGTGGGGGGCATTAGAATAGTAATATAAGATAGAATAATTTTTAAAAATGCATTTAAAGGATTTATAGGAAAATCTTTATGTTCATGGGTTGTTTCATTAATTTCTAATCCAGAAACGTTAAGTGATCCATGCCATTGTGGTGCAGACTCAATGAATGAAGTCGTAAGTGACATTTACACGTTGAAGCGACACACGGCAGTAGCAGGTATAGCGATGATTTGGGAAATACGTTTGACTATGAATACCAACATTTAAGATAGAGGAAACACTCACTACAAGCACGTGTTTACAGTATACAGGCACGTCTCTTGACTGACTTCTAAAACACTTCAATCGCAATGAAAAAATTGTAAACTGTACACAATACTGACTCAGGCTGACTGGTGCGGGATGTAACTGAGGGGGGCAGAACGAGTTGTAACTGAGGGGGGCAGAGCGAGTTGTAACTGAGGGGGGCAGTGCGAGGTGGCACTGAAGGGGGCAGTGTGAGGTGTCACTGAGGGGGGCAGTGCGAGGTGTAAGTGAGGGGGGCAGAGCGAGGTGTAACTGAGGGGGGCAGTGCGAGGTGTCACTGAGGGTGGCAGTGTGATGTGTAACTGAGAGGGCAGTGCGAGGTGTAACTGAGAGGGCAGTGCGAGGTGTAACTGATGGGTGCAGTGCGAGGTGTAACTGAGAGGGCAGTGTGAGGTGTCACTGAGGAGTGCAGTGCGAGGTGTAACTGAGACGGCAGTGCGAGGTGTAACTGAGGGGGGCAGTGCGAGGTGTAACTGAGAGGGCAGTGTGAGGTGTCACTGAGGAGTGCAGTGCGAGGTGTAACTGAGACGGCAGTGCGAGGTGTAACTTAGGGGGCAGTGCGAGGTGTAACTTAGGGGGGCAGTGCACTTCTTCTTCTTCTTTATTTTGAGGGCCCGCGATCAATGAAATGATCATTCTGGCTCCTATGTTTCAGAAGGGTTCACGATTTTACTGTGCATGGTTTTCAAGGGGATACTCCACTGGTTGCAAGGGCGACTCAGCAGTGGTGTTACGAACTGGGGGTTGAAATACAGGAGGCAATAGACACAAATGTGTCTAGTGTAGCCGCTTCAACTGTTGCTTTTGGAAGCTTGTTCCAGTCCCCTATTGTCTTTGGTAGGAATGAGGAGCTCCTGTACTTTGTTCTTGTTTTTACCAGCCGGAACTGTCTGTCGTGGCTTCGTCGCTGTCTAGGGGGAATTCTTAAGAGGAACGAGTTTCTGTTTGATGCCGGAGCAGTGGACCAGCCCATTTTTGATCTTGTACAACATGTTGAGCCTGCATGGATAGTCGTCGTTCTTCCAATGTTGACCAGCCTAGTGTTTCTAGCATGCTGCCAACACTTGAGGTGTTTCTGTAGCGGTTCAGGACAAAGCGTGCTGCCCGTCGCTTGACCGCCTACAATCTGTCGATGCTTTTCTGGGTAAATGGGTCCCAGACTGTAGAAGCGTACTCTAAAATAGACCGGACAAAGGCTTTATAGGCTTTTTCTTTCACGCTTGAGTTGCCGATCTTCAGATTGCGCCTTAGGAACCCCAGGGTCTTTTTTGCCCGGTTGCACACAGTGTTAATGTGCTCGTCGCAGCGGATCTCTCTTTGCATGATAACACCTAATAGCTACTTAACTGAGGAAACTGGCCCAAGAATAAAGCCATGCAGTTCGTAAGAGTGGTTTAGAGGGGATCTGCTTCTGGAGACTGACAGGGTCTGGCACTTGACGGGATGAAATTCCATGTCCCAGCTCATCTCCCACTCAGCTAACCGATTGAGGTCTTGTTGGAGCTGGCTCTGGTCAGAACTGTTGACGATTGTCCTATATACCACCGTGTCGTCTGCGAACAGTCTTGCTTGAGAGGTTAGCTTCTCGTGCAGGTCATTGATATGTGCTAGGAACAAACAACGTCCTAGCACTGAGCCCTGGGGGACTCCTGACTTAACACCAACAATGGAGGAGGTTTTGCCATCTACAACTACTGCCTGGCATCGGTCGCTGAGGAAGCTAGAGATCCATGTTTTGGTAGTGCCTTGGATCCCATATCTCTGCAGTTTGTGTAATAGCAAGCTATGGTTGACACGGTCAAACGCTTTTGAAAAGTCCAGCACAAGCACACCAGTTTGCGCATTACTGCTCTCAGTGTGCTTAAGGCCGGCTTGTAAACTACTAACTGGAGAAACAAATGGGGGTACACTAAATTTCATAGATATGACACTTAATTTAATATCTAAAACCAAAGAAATAGAATCCGACCCATCTAGGACCCTTCTCCCCACCCACACCACTCCGCCGGAGACCGATCAATGTGGTGTTCCCACTGGATAATTAATACTGTGGAGAGTTCGGATCACGACGGCGACCGGCCGTCTGACAGGTACAGCCGGCGCCAGCTGACCAGAGATCACGATCGACGGATCAAGCCATCTGACCATGGCATTTACCTGGGACGTCTGGTCTGTTTGTAACCTGGCGCCAATTGCGAAAAAGGGGCGGGGTATAATGCGCCAGTCCAGACCTGGGAGAGGAACTATGGGACAGGGAGGTATAAATAGGGATCTCTGGACGGGACGAGGGAGAAGGCGGCCGGACTGAGACTAGATAGCAGGGAGAAGTCAGAGTTGTGAGATGAGAGAAAGTGTAAGCAAAGTGACAGCCCAATAAAGAACACGAGTTTAATCATCAAATGTTATCGCCGGAGTTGTTTCCTTATTGAGTACCAGATCTAGATGAAGTTTATCAGAGAGTAAGCAAGGTTTCCTTACAATACCCCCAATGGGAGCTCCTCTGAATTTCTAAGTACAATGTTATAGACAATAATAATTGTCACGACTTTCCCCATTTTATAGGGTAGGTGCGTTAGATGCATCACAGGTTACCTATCCAAAGGCTCGTAAATTTACCCCACGTCAAAGTTGTAACTCGTGCCGTGTCATGGATACGGTCACGTGGTTTCAGTTCACCGAAAGTGTGCGTCAGGTTTTAACATCGTTTTTTGGACTTCAGCCGTGGAATGTTTGCGGAAATATTGTTTCAGAAAGACACAAAGATGGCGCTCCTTTACTCTCGTCACGGTTTAATGAATTTGCGCTTATAAACTTAACGATTTCAAAAAAAAAAAAAAATCAAAACAGATCAATGATGGCGTAGGAAGAGGTGGGCAAATGAGACGTTCCTACGCCCCGGCTGGCGCATTTTTAGGTGCGGAATTTTCGGTGAGGATATACGTTAAAAGGGAGATCACATGACAATTTATATATAGGAACTAAAAAACTTGACACGTTGAGAGGGCCTGGGACAGGTTGACGCGGGTGAAGGCTTCTCGTGATGAAGTCTACTGTACCCTTCTTGGTCGTCATATTCCAGATTGCCAGTCAGTGCACGTGTTTGGTTTTATAAAATGAACTCTTTTTTTCTCAAAAATCTTCATGAACATCAAACCAAAACGCACCATTTTGTGGATCTACATGTTTCATCGGGGGTCTTGGGCTTCTACACAATGTAAGAACCAGCGAATACGTACGAAGGGCGCAACTTCCTCTGTTTATCCTAAGCGTGTACCATTGTACCGGCACATGAAGTGTTGAGCGGTGGGCCGTTTCAGTGTGGAGAGGGGACCGCGTGGACTCCATTGACCTCTTTCAACCTTTCACAGTGCGGGCCTGCTGCTACGGTGGTTGTGCTGTAGAAATGAGGTCATGGTTAGATGGAGGCTACACCGCATAGGTCGTTACTGGTGGACCTACAGCCCCAGAAATGTATTATTTTATCATTAATTGAGGTTTAGCTGCACCTGTATGGTTTCCTCGTAAATCTGTTAACCCACCAACACAATCAGTTTACCCATAAACACAATCATTTAACACACGAGCAATCAGTTAACTCACTAATACAATCAGTTAACTCATGAACGCAATCAGTTAACCTACCAACACAATCATTTAACTCACTAACACAATCATTTAACTCATGAGCACAATCAGTAACTCACCAACACAATCAGTTAACTTTTCCACACAGTTAGTTAACTCACCAACACAATCAGTTAACCTACTAACACAATCATTTAACTCACTAACACAATCATTTAACTCATGAACACAATCAGTAACTCACCAACACAATCAGTTAACCAACCTACACAATTCATTAACTCACCAACACAATCATTTAACCTACCAACACAATCAGTTAACTCACCAACACTATCAGCTACCTCACCAGCACAACCAGTTAACCTGCCAACACAATTAGTTAACCTACCAACACAATCAGTTACCTCACCAGCACAACCAGTTAACCTGCCAACACAATCAGTTAACTCACCAACACTATCAGCTACCTCACCAGCACAACCAGTTAACCTGCCAACACAATTAGTAAATCCACCAGCACAAGCCAGTTAAGTCACGAACACGGCCTGACAACTGCTAACATTTTGAGGACAGAGAATAAAAAAAAGGAGAATATTGAACAGTTAAATCTTTGAAGGTTTTAAAAAAAAAATGTACGTCTCTCTGTGTGTGCGGGGGGGGGGGGGGGGTGTAAAAATTATACCACGTGATGTCTCTTTATAGTTTCCAATTTCCGTCAAACCATTAAAAAAAGCACATGAATAAAATTAAGCATTAGAAATATCATAAAACTGTTTTTTTTTTGTTCTTTGTTTTTTTTTATTTTTAAAGTTTCATACCAACAAATTGACAACAGATAAGCAGTTATAGATGAGCAGAGTTATAGATGAGCATAGATCATTTCAGAAGTTTTTAAATAAAACAACTCAAAAGCTGTTCATGTTGACTTACAATTCACTGAGTCACGATACAATTATGTATAACAATCATAGTGTATAACAATCATAGTGTATAACAATCATGTAGGGTAGAACAATCCTAAAACGTGTTTTTTTTTAAAATGTCAAAGACATGACAATTTATGGTATCAAAACATGTAGCATCACTTGTAACACATGCTAATTACCCGAACATATTGTCCTCACTTTATCCTAATTGATTGTCCTACCATTGGGAACATATTGTCCTTACTTTATCCTATTTGTCTTACCGTTGGGAGCATATTTTCCTTACTTTATCCTTATTGTCCTACCGCTGGGAACACTCAGTCATCAGTCGATGTGTGTATTGTAAGCATGGGTGATCCGCTGCCCCCCCCCCCTTTTTTTTTTCGAGTGAAGCTTGACCCTAAGGGCTATCCTCTTCTTCTTCTATATATTAAGGGCCAACGATCAATGCATTGATCATTATTGCTCCTATGTATGAAGACGGATTTGCAATTTTCCCGTGCCTGCTATTGAAGAGGATATTTCAGTGGTTGCAAGAGCTACTCAGCGAAGGTATCAGGAACTTAGGATTGGAAGGCCTGAGGCAGTAGACGCAATCGTGTCAAGTGTTATGGCATCAACAACTGCTCCTTTTCTTAATTGTCTTTGGCAGGAATGAGCAGTACTTTATCTTTCTCATTTCACCAATTTCTCCCCCCCCCAACCCTACAAACTTTCGGCACCCCTAGTGTCACCTATGGTGGTACGTCTTAAATGATCAATTACAGCAGAGCCCGGCTCCAAATGATTTATTGATTTTATTTTCTTGATCATCATAAAAAATGATATGTGTGGGGGGGGGCCCTGGGGAAAATGAGGGCTGTGGGTGGGGGGGGGGCCCTGGGGAAAATGAGGGCTGTGGGTGGGGGAGGGCCCTGGGGAAAATGAGGGCTGTAGGTGGGGGGGGCCCCTGGGGAAAATGAGGGCTGTGGGTGGGGTGGGGGGGGGCTGTGCTGGCAACATCTTAATATTTTCAGAATAAATGTAAATCTCAACAAAAACCAAATAACTTCTCCATTGGTATGATGCGAAACGAAGCAGGTGGCGCCAGCCAGACAGTGTTCCCCATCGTAACCCCCTCCCCCCCCCCACCCAGCCTGCACATCCATCAAATGATACCATCCTAAACACCCATCAGTTAAAAATAGTGTACCGGTACAACAAATCATCAAGTTAATGCTTATTTCGTTCAGTCTGGCTGATGGGCAGACGTGTTCATCCCGTAGTCTTTGGTAATGGTGAAATCTTTGGTCGTAGAATACGTTATCTGATGGTCACTGTAAGTCCGTTTCAAACACGACCTCATCGGGTACACGCTGGGGACATCCACGTCTGACGGACGGACCAATGCGGCGCCGGAAGTGTCAGAAATGGCCCGATGTCTCCCGCGGGGCTCTGGCCAGTCATAGGGAGGAGGGCCATCGGAAGCGGGAGGTGACGCCGGACACAGTTGGTCGCCTCCCTTGTTGTATTTCTCCTGCCATTTTTTTTTCATCTTCGCGCCCTCGTCGCTGGCGTGGCGCCGTAATGTCAAGGGGCTTTTACTCCTGTGCCTGATTCTACCAGACGAGAAAAATATCCGCTTTAGATTCAAATCGAAATGGACTCTCTTTTTACCGTCGACGTTATCCTCTCCGGACGATGTGGCCGGAGTCAGGTCTTGGGGTTTTGGCCACTCCTTGCAGACGGGAGTGCACCGGTGCCATTTGAAGAACTCCGAGATTCCCATTTCACCTTTGTCAAAATAGCCGTATGCATGGTTTCTGGAGATGCAGAAAAAGTAAATAAGTATCAACGAATGTAGACCGGTAATTAAATGAAATGCACAGATATTCAGACAAGAATACGCAGCCGAACACTACAATAATCGAAAATAATACATATATTTTTTTTAATTCAACAAATAGGTAAAAACAGAGAGAAAACAGTTAAAAACAGAAAGAAAACAATTAAAAAAGAAAGAAAACAGTTAAAGAAAAAGAGAAAGAAAACAGTTAAAAAACAGAAAGAAAACAGTTAAAAACAGAAAGAAAACAGTTAAAACAGAAAGAGAACAGTTACAATCAAGAATAGTTAACAGTAAACAAATGATACCTAATACCTTATAGGATCTTTGGCGCACCCCACATGTCTAACTAACCGTTTTACAAGAATGATCCGTAAGGTAGATAACTCACCTAAAGTTGTTCGTACCGGTACAAAGAATTCAGTAATCGTCTCCCTTTAATACAACCAAATTTCCGACATTCGGAATGCATCTGATTTTGTTAAGTTCAGAAACTGGCGGTTTTAAAGACTTAATTTTATTTTAAAAAATTATTATTCATATTTAAAAAAAAAATAATTGTATACTGGTAATCAGACAAAGTTAAATATTGGCTGGTATTTTTGAAATATATAGGGGCGCACCTCAGTCAATGTTCCAAGATTTTGTACTAGGAAATTCTAAATCCATTCTTAAAAAAAATAGAGAGAGAGAGAGAGAGAAAGAAAGAGGGGGGGGGGGAGAGAGTGAGAGAGAAGGAGAGAGAGAGAGAGAGAGAGGGGTAGAGGGGAGAGAGAGAGAGAGAGAGCGAGAAAGAGAGAGAGAGAGAGAAGGTGGCCCTGTTGTGGCTAGAGTACGGTAGTTTGTTGAGCCTTGTAGAAGTTGTTCAAATTATCATTCTCATGTCATCAGTGGAAAAGGTTTTAAAAATATAAATGGAAAGTTAGTGGGAAAGATGGAAAAACAAGGATTTTTTTTTGGTTGGGGGCGGGGGGGGGGAGGGGGAGGGGAGATGAAGTTAAGATAAAAAAGTAATATTAGAAAATATGGTTTGAACAAGGCCAATGTGGAATATGGGTTTGTCATTTCTTAGAACAGAAAACGTCACATTGCATTACCTAATATTATGTTAGACAAATGTTTTATTAAAACATAGCCTCTAACAATGTGTTTCAGCGCTTACATGGCAGTAACAATTTGTTTGTAAAAGTAAAATAAAGTGGTCAACACGTTTTTGTCTAGGTTACGACCCACTACGCCAGATAACATCAACGTAGAAGTACCCAACAGCTGTTGAGAGACTGGCCAAGCGGAATACCCGAATACCCGGATGTTTTATTATTATCGTACTGAGATTCGCCAGACTGTACGCTCGGATGTTCAATCAATAGATTCCCACCATTAAATGACCAAACCCTATCGCAAGATGGGTGAACTTTTCAAAACCAAAACAACAATGATCACCTCCCTTACTTAGAATGGATGACAAGGTCCGTGATGACGTAGCTGTCGCCCTCTATCGCCGCCTGGAACTCGCAGGCCACCAGCTCGCCGTCAGTGTGTTTGTACGTGAAGTGAGAGAACGTGGTCATGTGATTTGACTCCATGACCTCGAGTTCGTCCCAAGATGGCGAATGCGTCCAGGGGCAGAACCGGAACATGCTGCCTACAAGATGGCGGAAACTTTGTTTAGAATAAAAAAATACTACACGAGATTTCACACATGGAGAGTTACAAAGTTTTATATATATATAAAGTAGTGTCTAGCTAGCATTTCGTTTGATTTACTTAGAAGGTTTTAAATAATCTGATACATAACCCAACAATAATTTCTAATTGATAGTCTTTTATATCAGCCTAAACTAGAGACCGACCGAGAGTGATTTTCTGATTTCGGTCGAAAGTTTAAAATTACTTTCGGCCGAAACCGAAAAAATACAGAAAGTGTAAAAATGACTTTCGGCCGAAACCGAAAAAATACCGAAAGTGTAAAAATGACTTTCGGCCGAAACCGAAAAAATACCGAAAGTTAAAAATGAATTTTGGCCGAAACCGAAGCCGAAACCGCAGCCGAAACCGAAAATGAAATATTAAGATATTTTGAAATTCGTTCCCGCATACATTCTGCATACATCGAAAATGATGTGGGAAAGTATAAACATTTACATTCTTTTTATAAAAAATGAGATAATCGTGAATATTAATAAATAAACATCTAATATAGGGGTCTCAAACTCGCGGCCCGCGAGCCATTTGTGACCCGCAAGACGATATTTTGCGGCCCGCTACGTGACAGAAAAGTTTAGTGTAAATGCGCCGGCCCGTTTCCCCCATTCTCATATCTATAACGTGACTCTCCGCGACGGTTTCAGTCGAATCTCACCGACTAGTCTAATTCTGATTTTTTTTTTTTTTATGTTTCTATATATTTTTGTATGCCAGGTCTCTGGCAACAGTGAGTAGTTCTTGAGATCCCTTAATGATTTTATTGTTATTTATAAAGGTTGAGCAGATTGTAACAGTTGTAATCGCTTTTTTGTGGATTACTTGATGCGGCCCACTCTCATTCAGACACTACCTCCTGCGCTCCCCCCTCCCCCCCCCCCTTTCTATGATTTGAGTTTGAGACCCTTGATCTAAGAATACGTAGGATATTACCATTTTAATATAAAAGTAATTTAAATTGCTTTACAATTTTTTTTTAAAATTAGTATGGTAGGAGAAAATTGGGGGGGGGGGGGGGGGGGGGGGGAAATTAATGCAAAATATTGTTTTTTTTTAAACAGGGTCTCTAAAAAATGTGGTTCTAAAAGATCGCTTAATTTGTTTTTAAAGATCGTTTAATTGGTTGTTATTGATCGGTTAGTTTTTTGTTAAAGATCGTTTAGTTTGTTGGTAAAGATCATTGAGTTTGTTGTTAAAGATCGTTTAGTTTGTTGTTAAAGATCGTTTAGTTTGTTGTTAAAGATCGCTTAGTTTGTTGTAAAGATCGCTTAGTTTTTTCATAAAGATCGCTTAGTTTGTTCTTAAAGATCGCTTGGTTTGTTGTTAAAGATCGCTTAGTTTGTTGTATAGATCGTTTAGTTTTTTTTATAGAGATCGCTTAGTTTGTTCTTAAAGATAATTCATTTTGTTCCTTAAGATAGATTAGATTGTTCTTAAAGATCTTTTAGTTTGTTCTTAAAGATCTTTTAGTTTGTTCCTAAAGAACATTTGTTTTCTGTTAAAGATCACTTAGTTTATTCTTATAAATCATTTAGTTTACTATTAAAGATAATTTTTTTTGTTCTTAACGATCATTTAGTTCGGTCTTAAAAATCGTTTAGTTTGTTATCAAAGATCCCTTAGATTGTTCTTAAAGTTCGCTTAGTTTGTTTTAAAATCGTTTAGTTTGTTCTTAAATGTCCCTTAGTTTGTTGTTAAATATCGTTTAGTTTGTTCTCAAAGATTGCTTAATTTGTTCTGAAATGTGGCTTAGTTTGTTGTTAAATATCGCTTTCACTGAATATTAAAATGACCGAAAACCTGAGTCACTTTCGGCCGCCGAAAGTCTAAGTCAATTTCGGCCGAAACCGAATAAAAACCGAAAGTTAACTTTTCTCTTTCGGCAGAAACCGAAATTAAGCCGAAATTTAACTTTTCAGTTTCGGCCGAAATCGAAACTTTGCCGAAAGTGATAAAATGGCCACTTTCGGCGCCGAAACCGAAGCCGAAATTCGGTCGGTCTCTAGCCTAAACACAAGGTAACCAAAAGTGACAGACAATAATGATTGGACTAGTTTCGTGTTTTGTTACTACATTCTAACCACGCTACAGTGATCGGACTAGTTACGCAGTCCTTCCTATACAAGGCACATACCAACTCTAAAGCATTACCTAGTCCTATACAAGGCACATACCACCACTAAAGCATTACCTAGTCCTGCACAATGCACAAACCAACCCTAAAGCACAACCCGGCCCCGACTCAACACGTAGAATGTTGTCATAGCACAAGTACCAGAAGACAAGAGTTACCTTTCACGTTCTCTTCGATGGACACCCAATCGTCCTTGTCCAGAGCCTTGAAGCCATGGCGATGCTCCAACCACCGGTTTATCTTGGAGACTTTGTCCATCTGCACAAGACCAGGAATGATCACCTAGTGAACATACAGTTGAACGGGGTGCTGTCAAACAGATTTAGCAGTTCAATCGGCAGTGACACGGGGTTAAGGGGGAAAAAAGTTGGGTATAATCAGTAGCATCACTGGGACGATTTTTTTTAGGGGGGGGGGTTGCGGACCGTGCCGGGTGACACCCTTGTAGGGGGGTTACTCCAAATGAAAAGTTGCTAACTTTAGTTTGTTTTTTAACAGATCTAAGATATAAACAAGAGCAAGGTGCCTTCAGAAGTTTCACCACAAAGAACAGATTGCATCCGACCGGCTTGCCACCAGAGCAAGTGGCATCCGACCGGCTTGCCACCAGAGCAAGTTGCATCAGAGCAGGTTGCCACCAGAGCAGGGTGACTCGGATGAGGTCCGTGGAGAAGTCTGGAAAGGGTGGCACAATGAGTTTATCGCACTGAGTAGTGACACCAACCATAGACACGCCACTGTGTATACAAGAAACCTATCTTTTATCCGGAACAGAAATTGTTCAAAGCTGGTTATGACTTTTTTACTTTAAAAAAAAAAAAAAAAGAACACTTTTGAAATTTAGATTAGTTCATGTTTAAGACAGGACACAGTTAACGGTAACTCACTCTTATTTTAAGCACTGACGGGCAAGATTCAGGAAATACTGCCGCAAGATCTTTGGCCAACACAGCTTTTTCCTCTTCTGTCTTCCAATTCTCACGCGTACCTGGCAGCTCTGTGAACGCCTTCACGATGACTTTCTCCCATTGCCTCGACCCTTGGCCAAGTAGGACACCTTTGTACGCCATCTTTCTCCTGCCTCGTTTGTGAGGCTTGGCCTGGAGACCGACCTTAGGTTGCAATATAGGAAACAACTAGAGCTTAACCGGTGGTAGTTGTTGTTATTTTGTTGTTGTTTTTTTTTACACCGCGCCCGGGTATTTTGAGAAAATACCTGGTGGGTTTTTAAGTAATACACACACACACACACAAAAGTTAACTCCTCATTTTCTATAATATATGCCGGCCTTTTAACAATGTGCCTAAAGACAGTCCTAAACCTTGTTATAAAATATAATAGTCAGCTTCCCCTAAAGATTAAAAAAAAAAAAAATCAACTATTGACCTGAGTTCAACTGTCACGCATGACGCTCGCTGCTTGACAGCCTTTTCCCGCGCGCTCAGTACCATTGGTAGAAAACATGAGGAGTTGGGGCAAGGGCGGTTGAGGAGGCTGCAGGACACACCGGAAGCAAAATCTATATATAAGAGAGTATAGGTCCTGCATTCAGGCAGGGTTGATTATTGGATTAAGTGAAGTAATTCCAGTGGTAAATAGAATAGCTGGCAAGTGGAAACCCGTTTGCAGTGATTATTGCAGAAATTCCCCCCCTCCCTTCCTGGGGGCACTTAAGATTTTCGGGGGGGGGGGGCAGTGCCAGCAGTGCCAGTTGATTTATTGTTGGACATATTTTTGCTCCGGGGGGGGGGGGGGGCGTTGGCTTTTCCCCGGGGGGGGGGGGGGCGCGCTTGGCTTTCCCCAGTGGGGGGTAGTGCCCCCCCCTCCCGAGATATAGCTGAAAGAAACCATGCTCTTTTGTATGGCCCAGTTACCCAAACGCATATGACCTAGTTACCTAAACACACGTGACCTAGTTACTAAGAGCGTTATCTGAACCTACCGTATTTCACCGCATGTAGTGCGAAACTTTGATGGTAAACATGCTACTCAAAACAAGGGGTTCGCGTGGAAGAAGTTTTGTCTTTACCGGTGAACAATGTATAGGCATATTGATATATTGATGCAACTAAATCTTCTAGTCCTGGGGTCGGGAACCTATGGCTCGCGAGCCAGATGTGACTCTATTGATGGCTGCATCTGGCTCGCAGACAAATGTTCGATTATAAAAAAAAAGCCGCATTAATTTTAATGGTAAGAAATACTCATTAATGATTAGCAACAGCATAACAATATTATTAAAAGGAATTCAGAGACATAATTATTGCATTTTTAGTGTTGAAATTACACAAAATGCACACATTTTCTTGAATTTTTAGTTTGAAACATAATGTATGGCTCTCACAGAATTACTTTTCAAAATATGTTGTGCACATGGCTCTCTTACACAAAAAGGTTCCCAACCCTTGTTCTAGTCCACGGCTATCGTTCAGCAACCGTGCGCCCCTTGTATCAGCGCTTGGTAACACCAGTCGAGTGAGTAGCGTCCCTTTGACGGGACATCAGCACAGTTCTATTGGGTGCGACCACAGCTCATTTAACTATTAAAACGACGTAAAAGGATTTTGACAGTTTTATTACTTTTATTAACCACACTAATATTTGTTTCGGTAATTCGTATAGTATTATCATGGACAAAAAAAAAATCTAGGGGGGGGGGGGTTGTTTTGGTATGCCATCATACATGGATCGCATTTTACGCGGTAATCCACGGTACTAATCTAGACATTATATGATTATGACCCTTTCGGAAGACAAACAACACTCTTAACTCTCTGAAAAGACGAAAGCAAGTGCTTCTTAGTTGTGCTTCTTAGTTGTGCTTCATCGTTGTGCTTCTTAGTAGTGCTTCTTAGTAGTGCTTCTTGGCTGTATTTTCTTTCCACAAACGTTTGCCCGTGAAATACCATTTCTATAGAAATTATTTAAGACCCCCTGACATGACTAACCCATGTTATAAGTTAGGTCATGGTTTCCTCAAGTGTTTGTATATTTTTGCACCTCTACAAATCGTTTGACTACTCTCGAACCTCCTAGAAAAGTAGCAATGCATTTTACATTTGAAACAAGAAATACTCATTTACTTCTAGAGAACAATTAGTATGAAGCAAAATGTTATTGAAGATATGGATATGGAAGACACGTGACGGTGGGAGCTTCTTGTTTAGTGTGAAACAATGGACAGGCTACGCTGGGCAGGCTACTTAGAGGGAATGTCAAGTGACAGAGGAGTGAAGAGGGTGCACCACCAAAACCCCAGAGAAAAAGGGCTCAAAGATAGACCTAGGTCTTTTAAAGAGGCAATCGTTACTCCACTATTAAAGAAATCAAATCTTGATCCAAATGTGATGGAAAATTATCGCCCCATCTCAAATCTACCATTTATTTCTAAAATCTTAGAAAAAGTCGTTCTCCGCCAACTCCAGGATCACCTCACTCAGTTTAACTTGTTTGAACCATTCCAGTCAGCATACAGGGTGCATCACTCTACTGAGACAGCCCTGTTGCGCGTCGTAAACGACCTTCTGTCGTCTTGTGATGAGGGCAAGGTATCGATTTTGTCTTTACTCGATTTATCGGCAGCTTTCGATACGCTCGACCACGGCATATTGCTCCAGCGTCTGCAACAAACATTCGGTCTCACTGATACCGTCCTGTGTTGGTTCCGATCGTATCTGACTAATCGGGTGCAGTCAGTTATTTCAAACGGCTTGACTTCGAAGAAATCTAATATCGAATTCGGAGTACCCCAGGGCTCGGTCCTAGGCCCAGTGCTTTTCACGATGTACATTCAGCCACTGGGCGCAGAGATCAGGCAGTTTGACATGTTGTATCACATGTACGCGGATGATACACAACTTCATCAATCCGTGATCCCTTCTCAGTTCCCTCAGCTGCTCAGTATGACACAGAAGACAATGGAGTCGGTTAAGCACTGGATGACGATAAACAAGCTCAAATTAAATGATGATAAGACTGAGCTGCTCCCCATCGCGACCGCTCAGAAGCAAAAATCTGCAAATAACACTACATCCATTACTCTCTCAGGTGTGCGTATTGAGTTAGCTCAAACAGTGCGGTACCTGGGTGTCTACCTAGATGGAAGACTAACTTTTGAAAGTCATATTAACATGCTATGCAAGGCGATTTTTCTAGAGCTGCGCAGGATTAGTCACATCAGGCCCTTCCTAACAATTGATGCAACAAAGAGGCTGATGTCTGCATTTGTGCTATCACGCATGGACTATTGCAATGCTCTTATGGTGGGTCTTCCAGCTACGCTCCTGGATAAAATTCAAATAGCACAGAATAATGCGGCTCGCATTGTTCTCCGCAAACGCAAGTTTGACCATGCAAAAACACTTCTGAGAGAGCTGCACTGGCTGCCAGTGCGTGCTCGCATGGAGTACAAAATCGCAACTTTGTGCTACCGCTGCTTACATGACCTGGCGCCGTCCTATCTGAAAGAGCTGCTTATGCCTTATGTACCCACTAGAGAGCTCTGCTCATCCGATAGTGGCAAACTCTCGACACCACGTGTTTGCCTTGAGACTTACGGAAAGCGCACTTTCGCATTTGCTGGTCCAACAATTTGGAATGCCCTTCCTGTCGATCTCAGAAACAACCAGACACTGGAGTCCTTTAAAACCGATTTAAAGACACATCTATTTCGCAAACACCTTCTGGGATGATTGTCAACATTATTTTCCAGTTAATGCATAATGGCTGTGTTGCTTATGGTTGAAATGGCTAGAAAGACTTTGCCATTGTATGCTTGTAATTAGTTTTTGTCGTGTTGCGTTTGTTTTAAATGTGGTAAACTATAGATTTGTTTTTTGTTGACTTTGTACCGCGCTTCGAGCCTTTGGGGATGAAGCGTGTTTTTGAAATGAACTTTATTATTATTATTATTTATATGGATGGGTGATGTGGGGGAAAAAAGATCTACAGGTGCTGGGATTCTAAGCATGGAAAAGAAAAGCATAAGTTAGGTCTGAGTGGAAGGAAGTGGTGAGGCATGCCATAGCCCTACACGGGCTGCAGCGCCAAAGGGATGGATGGCCTGAGTGTAAGGAAGTGGTGAGGCAGGCCAAATCCCTACTACATGGTCTGTAGTGCCACAGGGGTGGATGGAAAATGTTATTGAAGAAATGCACAGAGCAGACATATGACGCAGAGCGCTTCTTGCCTAGTACGACAAGTTTCAGATGCCCCGAATGTCACCATTTACAATAACTTTTCCTAATTTAAAAAAACAACATGGGGTGGGGGTTAGAGAGGCCCCGAGGTGGGTTGGGGGGGGCGCTTCTTCTTTTGATCGCTTTCATTCATCTCTTAAAAGGAAAGTTTTACTGATTTTTTTAGAGTGGTAAACAAAAATCGAATTAACCCAGAGTACACGTGGTGTACACTGTACACTACCACTTTTAAACGTGAAAACAAACGGACACACACACACACACACTACCGGCACACAGTTACAGCCATCCTGTTGACGCTGACAGCAACAGCAGGTGTGTTGAAGATTAACGTATCGCGAGTGACCCAGTCACGTGATTTATTCATGCATCCACACATCTTGAGTAACAACCGCTCACAGAAGGTCGTGAGCAAGGAATTAGTAGTACCATTAATTATAAGTTAAATGGGCCTTTGGGCTTTAGGTCACGTGATCGACTCACCCAGTAACGGAAGCCGTCATTGCCGTGGATGCTCAGCGTTTCTGACGTCATTGCCTGACCCATGGTGTCAGCTTGCAGTTGACCAGTTAAGTTCAGCCCGTCCAGTGGCTATAATAAGAAGTGTAACACATGCACTCACTGATGAAGTCTCGCGGTAAAAACGAATGCATCCCAAAGCTCAGAAAGACACACTATCCTATGTCATGCATCGCTCAGTTGTTTACTAGGCGGAGGTAACTCACATTCACATTACTCTCTAAACAGGTGAGCCACCGCCCACCATAGAAAAGAAGGCGGGCCAACCACCGGTATCAGTATATAAGGGGAAAACTTATTCAGTCCCTTTGAACAATGTCGCAAACTTTAAAAAAACAACAACAAAAAAAAAAAAAAAAAAAAAAAAAAAAAAAAAAAAAAAAAAAAAAAATAAAAAAAAAAAAAAAAAAAAAAAAAAAAAAAAAAAAAAAAAACCAACAACAACAACAAAAGAACTCTTTAAACAAAACGCTAAAATGAATACTCCAAAGACAATGGTGAACGGTGGTGCGACTTGTCAACAGTCCCCGTGGAAATGACTGAGATAATCCACGCGTTTCTGGTCACACTTAAGTTAATGTACACACTTGATCGGTTATCGTGAAATATGAGGTTTGAGTGTCCGAACCAATGTCAACCGATATGAACTGCTGAACTGCGTGTGTAAAATTAGGCCTCACGTAACAACGTACTTGGGCTGAAACTGCGCTCTAGCATTGACCCCCACCATGCCCATGCCTCCACGCGTTATGTGACGTCAGTTGAACACACTACACAGCTAATCTATGAGACGTCAACATGGCTATCATACGCTGCATAGTTGATCACCATTAGCGTTAGACCAGTAGATTTTCCCCCACAACAACCCCCCCACCCCCTCATCCCCCCACAGGACACACATTGTTGATGGTTCCGTCCGTAACAGCAGATGATGGGCATTCCAATGGAGGCCTAGTGCTTTTTATTTTTTTTTTAGAAAGTTCTTAAACTAAGTTGGGCCAGGTGGGAGGGGGAGGGATAGAGGGGAAACAAGAAGGGACGCAGGGCAGTTTTTCAATGAGGTCACAAATACCTGTGTCACTGTCGGATTGATGCAGGCACAGGGGGGGGGGGGGCGTTGGTCAGCAAGACCGGAGATAACATCACTGAATCTGCACTGTTTGTTTACGTCCTCAGTTTATTCTTACCCTGCTTTTTACGTTCAAAAAATGATTTTNGATGGGCATTCCAATGGAGGCCTAGTGCTTTTTATTTTTTTTTTAGAAAGTTCTTAAACTAAGTTGGGCCAGGTGGGAGGGGGAGGGATAGAGGGGAAACAAGAAGGGACGCAGGGCAGTTTTTCAATGAGGTCACAAATACCTGTGTCCCTGTCGGATTGATGCAGGCACAGGGGGGGGGGGGGCGTTGGTCAGCAAGACCAGAGATAACATCACTGAATCTGCACTGTTTGATTACGTCATCAGTTTATGCTTAGCCTTCTATTTACGTTCAAAAAATAATTTTAACAGTATTTAATGTTGTTCTTATCCTGATATGTTGTTCTTATCCTGATATGTTGTTCTTATCCTGGTATTTAGGCCTACAACCTTATATCCCTATCCCGATTTATTGTTAAACAGAAACTAATAATAACACAAATTAAACAGCCCCTAAAAACAAGGTGTTTCCCCCCCCCCCCCCCCCCCCCCCCCCCCCCCCCCCCCCCCCCCCCGTATAAATCCTGTCCATGCATTTTTTAAATTGTTTTATTTGATATTAATATACGAATGTCTCACCCGCTTTTACATCGCAGATTTATTTCACCTTATTTCACCTTATTTCACCTTATTTCACCTTATTTCACCTTATTTCACCTTATTTCACCAGCTGTTTCAGAAAAACAAAAGAAAAATTGCGCGCCAAACGCACTTTTGCGATATCTTTTTTAAAAAGAAAGAATCTCATTTAGTGCAATTATCGGGAAGTTGATTCAGCGACATCCTACTTCCTTCATGTTCCCTTTGAACAACAGGGACAAGACCGATTTTTGGGGGGTTGGTGGCTGACAGTTTGAAAGAATGTGTTGTTGTCTGTAACATGGATCTCTAGCTTCCTCAGCCACCGACGCCAAGCAGTAGTGGTGGGCGGTACAAGCTCCTCCTTTGTCGATGTGAAGTCAGGGGTCCCCCAGGGATCAGTCCTGGGCACCTGTTTGTTCCTAGCATACATTAATGACCTACCCGAAAAAACTGACATCACAGACAAGACTGTTCGCAGATGACACAGCAATGTATAGGATGATCGCCAACAGATCTGACCAGGACCAGCTACAACAGGATCTCAATCTGTTAGCTGAGTGGGAGATGAGCTGGGACATGGAATTTCACCCTGCCAAGTGCCAGACACTATCAATCTCTAGAAGTTGTACTCCTCTACACTACCAATACGAACTGCACGGCCATATTCTTGAGCCAGTTTCCTCCGTAAAGTACCTGGGTGTTACCATTCAAAGAGAGGTCCGCTGGGACGAGCATTTTAACAATGTATGTAACCAAGCAAACCAAGCCTTGGGGTTCTTAATGCGAAATCTAAAGATTGGCAACTCCTGTGTGAAAGAAAGAGCATATAAAGCCTTTATCCGTCCGATTTTAGATTATGCATCTTCAGTCTGGGACCCATTTACCCAGAAGAGCATTGACAGGTTGGAGGCGGTCCAGCGACGAGCAGCACGCTTTGTCCTAAACCGCTACAGGAATACCTCTAGTGTTGGCAGCATGCTAGAAACACTAGGCTGGTCACCATTGGAGAAACGACGACGACAATCCAGGCTCTCCATGATGTACAAGATAAATAATGGGCTGGTCCACTGTTCCAGTATTAAACAGAAACTCGTCCCTCTCCCCCATTGACAGCGACGAGGCCATGACAGGCAATTCAGGCTCATACCAGCAAGAAGCCAGTATAGGAGCTGCTCATTCCTGCCCAAGACAATAAGGGACTGGAACCATCTTTCAAAAGGAACGGTTGAGGCGACAACACTAGACACATTTGTGTCTGTTGCCTCAAGCCTTCAAACCTCTAGTGCATGATTTCCTCATCACCACCAGTAACAGAAACATTGCAAATCCCATCTACATGCATAGGAGCCAAAATGATCAATGAATTGATCGTGGGCCCTTAAGATATAGAAGAAGAAGAAGTCCATGTGCCAAGTTTCAGCTCGGTGGGTTGACAGGTAGTGGGTCACTTAGCCGTCTGGATATTTTACCCCACAATAGGTTTGAGCTGATTATGTAACGGGGTGGGCGGGATTCTAAGAGGTAGTTTACGACTCTGTGTAAACAGAATGCTAATTACATAGCAGGAACATATTATAGGAACACAGTAGGAACACATTATAGGGACACGGTAGGAACACATTATAGGGACACAGCAGGAACACATTATAGGAACACAGTAGGAACATTCCATTGCAAAAGACAACACTAAGACTTGAATGGCCGAGTCTGTGATGAATGCTCCCAACCGTCGTGGTGGCAACTCAGCGCTGTCTGCAATGTGTTGCTTGCCCGTCATCATGGACGTCCGCAAGGGGGAGGGGGGGGGAAGCAAAACCTCCCCCTCCCTGGGTTTCGCTAAAATTTTGTCAAGTACATGTACTTTTACTAACATTTTCAAGCTTGAAAAATTTACTTACCCACACATTCGGTTTTTCAGTCATATAGCCTACTATAGCCTATTATAACCAACTATAGCTTACTAGAGCCTATTATAGTCTATTATAGCCTACTATAGCTTTCTATAGACTATTATAGCCTACTATAGCCTATTATAGCCTACTATAGCTTTCTATAGCCTACTATAGCCTACTATAGCCTATTATAACCAACTATAGCTTACTAGAGCCTATTATAGTCTATTATAGCCTACTATAGCTTTCTATAGACTATTATAGCCTACTATAGCCTATTATAGCCTACTATAGCCTATTATAGCCTACTATAGCATATTATAGCCTACCATTCTCTACTAGAGCCTACTATTGCCTATTACAGCCTACTATAGCCTATTATAGCCTATTGTACCCTATTGTAACCTACTATAGCCTACTATAACCTACTATAGCCTATTATAACCTACTATAACCTACTATAGCGTACTATAGCTTACTAAAGCCTACTATAGCCTACTATAACCTACTATAGCCTATTATAACCTACCATAGCCTACCATAGCCTACTATAGCCTTCTAAATCTTGACCATAATTTATTAATTTTAATATTTGTGTTCGTGGATAACCATTCAATGCCCATGACGTCATTTTCTGATTGTATAGAGTCTATGTCATTCGAGGAATTATGGTACAAACATTAATTTTAAAATTCTAAAATAATAAAAGGGTAACCACTCCACCTTTACCACGATAGGTATAGTATTTTTAAAAAAAAACAACAGATTTATTTAGCAGTGTATCTTATCAAATTAATTGAGTTGGTTTTTTCATCATCGGTTGCTTTGTGTGTTGAATACGATTATGTCCCCTTTGTTGTGTAAATTCCTAACAAGTTCCAACACTAAAAAACAAACAAACAAAAACATTTGCACACCCCCCCCCCCAAACCTACAAAAGCCTTCTGCGGACGTCCATGACCTTCACACATGGTCCCTGTAACTGTAACTAGTAGGTCATGTAAATTAATCACACGCTCGTAAAAGATACTAGCCTCCTTTCTAAGAAAGAAATATGCACTATTTTTTTCATCATCGGTTGCTTTGTGTGTTGAATACGATTATGTCCCCTTTGTTGTGTAAATTCCTAACAAGTTCCAACACTAAAAAACAAACAAACAAAAACATTTGCACACCCCCCCCCCCCAAACCTACAAAAGCCTTCTGCGGACGTCCATGACCTTCACACATGGTGCCTGTAACTGTAACTAGTAGGTCATGTAAATTAATCACACGCTCGTAAAAGATACTCGACTCCATTCTAAGATAGGAATATGCACTATTTTCTGCTTTATAGGGGGGGGGGGCACACCTAAAAATGTTGGGGACCATTGTGATTGTGCTCTCTCTCTCTCTCTCTCTCTCTCTCTCTCTCTCTTAAAGACCCCCTCCCCTCTTTCTTCTCTCCACATGTTGTACACGTGAATGACATAAGAAGCCAATAGAATCTGAAGCCACCTGTAGCATTACATAGCGCTTATTTCACTCATTCGATTTCCCTACCACCACTAAAGGGAGATGACGACATCGAAAATTACGTGGCTGGCGTAAAAAAAAGTTGCTTCCCTTAATTAAATTCCATTCTTCTACATTTCTAACTCCAATTTAATACCGAAAACTGTCGCTATGCCCTGAATTTATTTGTGGTGCATTCTCAACAAGTCTATTATAAATCATATAATTAAAATAACAGTCCATTTTTAAATAATTTCTGTCTAGTTTTACGTTTTTTTTTAATTTGTTTTTAATCCTCTGGTAGGCAGCTCAGATGACCACAGCATTCGGACATCATGTGTCCATTGGTCAACGCCTCAGTTCAAG